TGCAGAAACATTCTGGGGTTTTTTTAGCACTCTTTTCTATAACTCATTACATCCTAAACTTAAGAGCTGCTGGTTCAGTCTCAGTTCACAGCCTGACTCCACTTCCTTTAGTTCAGCCAAGTACTTTTACTCTGCAGAAGTGTCAAAAACTTAAAGTGCCTCACACTCCCCCGGGCCTGTGACTCTCTTTGCTCTGCTTAATGATTTCTAAAGGCAAAGGTCATCTTGAACAACTCCTAAGATACCACACTTGAGCAAAATAAACCCATCAGGCACCAGAAATGGGCCACAGGAATAATTTTTCTGTTGTTCCTGGTGCCCTGCTGGTGTGGCTGAGGTGAGGATGAATGAGCAGAAGCTGCCACAGACACTGTCAGGCTTGACAGCAGATTCCTTTTGAGGACACTGTGTTTGTCATGTGTATTCAGGACCTGAGAAAAGGAGGGTGCAGATCTCCTGAGGGTCTTCTGGTCAAGACATCACCAGAACTGTGATGCTGCTGCTCTTGGCTGCATCAGCTGGGCAGGAGATCCAGTTTGATGGGTCCCTACCAGGCTGGAGAGGTTGGAGCTGCCTGGAGGAGCCACCTCAGGGAATCACACAAAGGTTTGGGTTGGAAGGGACCTTACAGACCATCTTGTTCCACCCCCTGCCACGGGCAGGGACACCTCCCACTAGCCCAGATTGCTCCAACCTGGCCTTGGACACTTCTAGGGATGGGGCAGCCACAGCTTCTCCTGCCTCCCCTACAGGGAGGTGACTGAAGGGATTATATCCCACCCTTTCATCCCACTTTTTTACTCGGCTTGCACTTGCAGCAGCCTGCTGAGCAAATGCCCAGAAGATGGGAAAGAAAGACTTTCTGCTCTGCTCCTCTTACAAAAGGTGCCTGGAAATTCATAGTTTAACAGTGATTGTTAAACTATGGTTAACAGCACAGTTTGACAGTGACTGACCCTATGAGAATATGGAGCCTGGTAAGGTCAGAGGTGTATATTGGGAAGAGAATCCAGACAAACTTCCTTCTCAGCTGCTAAGCACTGATTTCAGAGCACCAGGGACTGCTGGACTTGTCTTTTCTTTTAATTCTTGTTCATGGCTTGCAGCATCTTCAGCTTAAAGTTCATCTCCTTGACCTCAGTCCACAGCTTCAGGCTCCTGCCTGGCTCCTTGCTCCCTGCCTGGAAAACAAACGCTGCTGGGTTTGTTGGAGGTGCATGGGAAATAAAAACCAGCTTGGGGAGGCTGTCAGAGTTTCATCAGAACGAGATATTTGTGCTCAGTCGGGGCTGGTTTCACCCAAAAGCCCCAGGTCCCCGTGGGTGAGCAGAGCCAGCCCAGCCCTGCAGTGTGGTCAGTCCAGCAGCACGTGGGCTCTGCTTTAATTCCCTGGAAGATGACAAGAAAGTTCTAGTTAGGCGTGATCTTAATCTTGACATGGATGTTAATTAATCCTGATTCATTGTTCTAAGCCTGAGAGGCCAGGCAGGAAATGAGCAAAAAGCATTACTGAGAAAAAAAAAATAAAAAAATCTCTGATTTCACACTTGAGGGTGTGGGGAGCAAAGCTTTGAAGATGCTGCTCTTGCTGCAGTGTAATATATTCACTTTTTTTTTCTGGTTTTGGCTCATGAAGTGCTCTTTTCCCTCACCCTTAGAAGCATCGGATGCAATTAAGCTCAGAAGCAATGGCCCTTTCCAGCTCTTTCCTGTCAGCAGGGTGAAATAGCACAGAAATGGGGGAATTTTTTTTTTTTTTTTTTTTCGTCTGAGTGGGTGAATATCCACTACAGAAACTCAGCTCCTCAGTGCTGGTACCTCCTGAGAACCACAGCTTTGCTGGGACCTGTTCTCAGCTGCTCAGTCAAGACCCTGCGTGGTTTCAGCTGCTGATTTAATTCACAGAATGTGCTGAGCTGGAAGGGACCCCAAGGACCATCCAGTCCAGCCCTCAGCCCTGCACCCCAAGAGTCACCCCCTGTGCCCCAGAGGATCAGCCAAAGCCTCCTGCAGCTCTGGCAGCCTTGGGGCTGTGCCCACTGCCCTGGGGAGCCTGTTCAGTGCCCAAGCAGCCTGTGGGGAAGAACCTTTCCCTGAGATCCACCCTGAGCCTGCCCTGACACAGCTCCAGCCATTCCCTGGGGGCTGTCCCTGCTCCCCCAGAGCAGAGCTCAGTCCTGCCCCTCCTCTGCCCCTGCCCAGGCAGTTGGAACTGCACTGAGGTCTCCCCTCAGTCTCCTCTGCTCCAGCTGAACACACCAAGTGCCCTCAGTGCCCTCACACGCCTTCAAATCCAGGCCCTTCCCATCTCTTTGCCCTCCTTTGGACACTCTCCAATGGCTCAATCTCTCCCTTCCATTGTGTCCCCCCAGTGTTGAGGTGAGGCCACCCCAGGGCTGCCTCTTGCACTGGTGGGGGAGATGGGATGAACCCCCAGCTTGGTGAGCACTGGGCCCTGCTCAGAGTCACTGGGAAGGACACTGCCCACATCTCCATGTGAGGCCACTTGTGTGGTTTACACAGTTCTTTCCAACCCAAAGCAGAGATTTTTCATCTCAATGGTTTTGCAGGCTTTTACTGAACAAGGAAGGAGGAGCAGCGAGGCCTTTCCCCGCCTGAAGAGGCTGATCAGGGCCCCGAGCTGTGTCTGTGCCTCCAGAAGGTCACAGAGGCTGTCATCCTCCTCTGGCTTAGAGGGGGGGAATAGGAATTTTAGGGGAATTCATATCTGTGGCTGGGATATGAATTTTTAACTGCTGTTCAGCTGCTTTCAAAGGGTCACTGCCTGGAGGTGGAAGTTCTTCAGCCGTGCTGGGGAGGCTGAGAACACTCACTTCATCCCAAGTGCCTGGACTGCTCTTTCTTTATTTTTTTTCCCTTTTAACCTGATATTCTTTGTTCCAAACCCACAAGGAGCAGATGCCTCCTAGTTAAAAGTGATGTAGCTTATCAGTAGAAGTCTTTGCTACTTCACAGGATGATTCCAAACCTAACTGGGGTAAAGGCTGGAGCTTCAGCTTCTCAGAGCCAGTGCCAAGGAAATCTGTTTGGATGTTTATGCATCAGCAAGGGCAGTGTTTATTCCCATTGGAGTTTCAGCTGCTCTTTGTGATTAGAGATGCCCTGGAGAAGCCTCAGCAGCAGAGGAGTGATGCAACAGCAATTCTGTGCTGCAGCCAGGGCAGCTTTCACTGGGAGCATCACTCTGTGCTTGGGAAATATTCTCTCGATTCATTTTTTTATTTTTTCCTATTAAAATGGAAATTCACTGCTGTTAAAAGCATCTCTAATGCCTGTTCTGGCACTGAATTTTCCCTGATTATCCACAGCCAGGTGGCAGTGAGGGCATGATGATCAGGGAATCATGGAATGGGTTGGGTTGGAAGGAAACTTCAAGATCATCTTGTTCCAGCACTGCTGCCACAGGCAGGGACACCTTCCACCAGCCCAGATTGCTCCAACCTGGCCTGGGACACTTCCAGGGATCCAGGGGCAGCCACAGCTTCTCTGGAAAACCTGTGCCAGGGCCTGCCCACCCTCACAGCCAACAATTCCTTCCCAATCCCCCATCTCTCCCTGCCCTCTGGCACTGGGAAGCCATTCCCTGTGTCCTGTCCCTCCATCCCTTGTCCCCAGTCCCTCTCCAGCTCTCCTGGAGCCCCTTTAGGCCCTGCAAGGGGCTCTCAGGTCTCCCTGGAGCCTTCTCTTCTCCAGGTGAACCCCCCCAGCTCTCCCAGCCTGGCTCCAGAGCAGAGACCCCCCCTTTGCCAGCCCAGAGAAGGAGCTGTTGCAGCCTCTGCTGCACCTGCCAGGCTGGGAGAGAGGGTTGTGATAAATCTATTTTTGCACTCCAGGAAAATTGCTAAAAATATTTGCCTTCCCTCCTGAGCCATCAAAGCCCTGCCCTGCAGCCCCATCGAGATTCTGGGCAGGTGATGAGAAATCAGTGCAGTCGTTCACCTGCAAATGAAGATTTTGCCTGCTCTGTGGGAAGGCACATTTGGGCAAAAATAAACCTGTTTTGAGATCCTGTTGTGTGCTGTCACATGCAGGGCACCTGCAGATATTGGAGTGAGGCCTGTGTTGGGTATACTTTAGTTTTTCTCTAATTAGAAGGGTCATTTTGGGATGACCCCACTGGACAGGGCTCCTCTGCCATTGATGCTGACCTTCTGTATGACACTGGAATGTGGCTTGGACTCTTCAAGACTCTGTTTCTTCTCCACAATATTGATATAACAATACTTCTTCCTCCTACCTGGTGTGTGTAGAGAGATCCCACTGCCTGCCAGGGTGAGGTGGTGGATGGGCCATGGCCTCAGCTGTCATAATGTGGTTAATTAATTAACAGTTGGGTAGTGTAAGTTTATCTGGGCAGTCACTGGGTTGCTTCCTAAGGGTTTTTTTACCCTTGGAAACAAAGAAAATTAAGAGCTCAGGGTAAAGCCACCTCTCCATGGCTTTTCCTGGTGAACTGTGCCTTGACTTCCCTGATCCAGATGTTGAGGAATCCACAGCTGCCCTTGACTTTCTATCTCAGCGCTTTCCTTGGTCAGGAAAAACTTCCCAGTGTCTGACCTGTGTTCCTTTGGTGCAATTCAAGACTATCACACCTTCTGCTACCCTTGGCAAGTCTAGAAGACAGTTTATTCCTCTCTACTGTCGCCCTCTCAGCGGGTTTGAAGACCATGGTGGTGCCTCCCTGATGCCTTTGCTCTTCATCCAGAGAGGAGTCCCCATCCTGGAAGAGCCACCATCCCTGGGGGTGTTCAAGAGCCACGTGGATGTGGCACCTGGGGACATGGGTTAGTGGTGACCATGGTGGTGGTGGTGGTGCTGTGTTGGTTGTTGGACTTGATGAGCTTTGAGGGCTTTTCCAAAAATAATTAACCATTGTGAGCTGATATTTATTTCCCTCGTGAGCCTCTCATTGATTATTCCTGTCTTACCACTGTTCACCCTCCATTCCTGAATTGTCTTTTTCCTTTTTCTTTTTCCAGATCATTTCTACAATTTACCAAGACCATTTTGAATCCTAATCCTGGCCTCTGAAGTACTTGCAGCCTGTCCCAGCCTGGTATCAGCAGCAATTTCAGTAAGCACGTTTTGTTCCATCCTTCAAATCAGTTTTAAATGTACTGAACTGTGTTACAGCTTGGGTGTCTTGGTCACTCCCTCAACGGGTCTTTCCCTTTGGGAATTGGAATTGGACTTGATGATCCTTTTGGGTGCCTTCCAGCTCAGGACATTCTGTGATGCTGAGTCTGTGTTCACACTCTGGCACATCCTAAAATGCTGCTTTTGCTTTGCAAAAGGTACAAAAGGCAAAGCAGTTCCTTGGGCTGATGAGATTTGTATCCCAAAGCAAGAGATTTCATCAGCCCCTTGGAACATCTGTAATGAGAAATAAGTTTATTTGTCACATCAGTGCCTGAACAAGATGGGTTTTATGCAGGGTTGGAAAGAACAGAAGCTGTGCTTTGGTGTTGGTTGGATAGTAGGGAGAAATCCTTCCCTGGGAGGGTGGGCAGGCCCTGGCACAGGTTGGGCAGAGAAGCTGTGGCTGCTCCTGGATCCCTGGAAGTGTCCAAGGCCAGGTTGGAGCAACCTGGGCTAGTGGAAGGTGTCCCTGCCCATGGCAGGGGGTGGGAAAGTCAACTATTCCCCAGGTACCTCCTCCCTGAAAAACCCACCTGCCATTCTCACCTGCTGGCAAATCCTTGTTCCTTAAAGAGTGTTTGTGGCTGAGACCCTGAGGGAAGAAATGTAAACACAGTTCGTGTCATGACTTACAAACCCAGGGGGCAGCTGTGGGTGCTGGTGGGATGTGCTGGACCTGCTGGGTGGCAGCAGATCCGTGGCCAAGCAGATGGTCCTTTGGATTTCTGCCCTGTGGCTCAAACACTGTGTGTCTGTATGGTTGGACCAGCACACAGGTTCATTTTGGTGGAGATGGAAAGGGTGTGATATTCCAGGATTTATGATTTTCCACGGAGTCTGATGAATAAACCTTTACAGACCGAGCCTGTGTTTATAAGGCAAAGGGGCAGAGACCACAAATGCATGGACAGCCACTGTTTGTGTCCCTGGGACTTGCTGGGGTTTAACAAATAAGAAATGAAAACCAAACCTGTGCCTGGACCCCAAAGGGAATCAGGTGCAAAGCAGTTCTCAGACTCAGCTCAGACAATCAGTCTCTTGTTTGTCTCTCAGGAGGAGCACAAAGCTGGGCTTTGTCGTTGGCTGCACCTCCATGTGTCTGTCAGAACAGCTCCTGGTTCAAGCCTCATCTTCTCTGTGGCATCCACTGGCTCTGGAAATTGCAGCTTAAACAGGGAAAGTAATTTCTCCTTGCCTTTCACTTCATAGGAGTGAGAGGGAATCGGGATTTCCAGCTCTGTTCTCATGTTGTGAAGGGGGAAACTGAGGCACGGGAGGTCAATATTGTGTGAGCCTCCTGCAGTGACCCCAGATGGGAAATGCTGATTCCCTCTGTGCCTTTCCCAAACTTACAAGAATTTTAGAAACAAAGTTCTGTGAGCAAAGACTTGCCATTTGATATTTTCAAGGACTTTACCTACATCAAACTGATTTACTTGGAGGGGAAAAGCCTTAAATATCCCTGCAGAGGGTTCATAATGTGAATGATTCTGTATTTTTTCTCTGCATTTCTCTGAGTGCATGAAATCTCTCCCAGCCATAATGGAATTCCATTTGGGATGTGCTCTCTAGCCATGGTGGTGTTAAAAGGAGGTGCACAAAGGGAATTCTCTTTGGAGAGAGGGGAAGAAAAGCTTGTGGTGCCAGTAAATGATTCTTGGCACTGCAATAACCCTAATCAGATTAATTAGGATTAATTAAAATTTCTGGCTTTTATTTATGTGAAATAAAAACACGTCTAAAGAGTTTAGGGCTTTTATGAGTTTTAGTAATATTGTTGAGTTCTTTCACCTAGTGCAATGTGTAAATCATGTGTAAATGTCTAAAGCTGGTTGGGCTTTTAGGGAGAATTATGCTGCACCCAGCATTTAGAGCCAGCCATTAGTTCTCCATCTCCTCTTCCATCTTTTGTTGTCGGTAAATCCATCTCCTGCCCCCTTTCCCATATTGTCCATCTGCAGGTGACCCAGCTCTCCCTGTGCTGATATCTTCAAACAGGTTTCTGCTCCAAGCTTCTTTTTTTATTTGAGAATTGTGCCAAATCTCCCCTCTGGTTTTGCCCCTGATCTTCTGGCGTGGCCAAAGCATCCTTGTCCCATCCCACACGTGGCTTCTTCCCCCTGGAACAATCCTCCTGTAATTTTCCACTTGGGTGTCTCACCAAAAAGCTGCATTTTTTTATTTATTTTTTTTCCCCTCACTTGCATATGCCACTGACTTTTCCCAGCACTTTTTTTTTTTTTTTACTGCATCTTTCCCTCACTGTTTTCCATCTCAGAAAAGCTGTTCAGATTTTCACCAAACAAATCTGCCCAGCACTGCATCTGTGCGTGCCCAGATGGAGCAAGATCTGTCAAACCTTGGGAGGGGGGGGGAATTTTCCAGCAGCCTCGTCCCTCCCGTCTCCCCTTGCACATTTACTCCTTGGAAAGCTGCAGTCAGAAGAGGAGGATGGCTTGGAGTTTTACAAGTGTGAGGGAGCGGGAGGTTTTCTCTGTGGGATGGGCTGTGGGGATGCACTGTGGGGATGCTTTGGGAAGTGGGAAGGGTTGATGAGGAGCCACGAGCTGCAGCCACGTGTCCTGACTGAGGCCTCTGCAGAGGCTGCTCCTCAGCACTTCCAGACCTTTTTGTTGTCACAGAATCATAAAGGTTGGAAAAGCCCTCCAGGATCATCGAGTTCAACCTTTGACCCCCATGCCCCCACTAATCCGTATCACAAAGTGTCACAGCCACAAGTTTTCCGAACACTTCCAAGGGTGGGGACTCCACCCCTGCCCTGGGCAGCTGTGCCACTGTCTGGCCACCCTTTCCATGAGGAAATTCCTGCTGATGTCCAACCTGCCCTCCCCTGGCACAGCTGAGGCCGTTCCCTCTCCTCCTGTCCCTGTTCCCTGGGAGCAGAGCCCGACCCCCCCCGGCTCCCCCTCCTGTCAGGGATTGCAGAGCCAGAAGGTCCCCCCTGAGCCTCCTTTTCTCCAGGCTGAGCCCCCCCAGCTCCCTCAGCTGCTCCTGCTGCTCCAGCCCCTTCCCTGGACACGCTCCAGCCCCTCCGTGTCCTTCTTGCCGTGAGGGATCCAAACCTGACCCCAGCACTCGAGGTGTGGCCTCACCAGTGCCCAGCACAGGTTTTAATTCATCTTCTCTTTTCATATTGGGGTTCACAGTGCCATGAACCTCTGGGGTGTTGGAGGTGCATCCTTAACTTGGATCCTGGTGGGACTCAGCCCTTGTCTTTGTTGATGGATTTCCCCCTGTGCTTTCAGGACAGGGCAGAGAGCACAGGGGGTGCAGAGGGGACACAGTGTGGCCTGTGGAGAAGAGTTTGCTCTTGGCAGGGATTTTATTGTCTGCAGTGGTTTTGGTGGATCCCTGAGGATGTGATGTCCTCTCCAGTCCTTGTGTCAGGGCTCAGTTGGACCCTGTTTTGGGGCAGGGTACCCCCCACCATCACCACCACCATCCATGGGATTTGTGCTGGGGGTTTGTGTGAGCAGGGATGGACATTCCCTGCTCTCTGCCTTTGCTCTCCCATTCCTTTACTGGTGCAGAAGGATGTGCTGGAGGTGTCACACCAGGAATCATCCTCAGATCTTTGCACTGAGACCTGGTTTCACAGTGGCAGTGGCACTTCAAATCAAGAGTCAGCATTGCATCAGAGTCCATCTCAGACCCAGGGTTGGCTGTCAGAACCCAAAACTCTGCCCCAAAGTTATACACAGCTTTTTTTCTCTGACTTTTTAGTGGGAAATATGTTGTCATTTCCAAACTGCTTTGAATCATCCCTTTACACTCCTCTCTTTAAGCCCTGCCATCTTACTACGTTGACAGGGAGGTGTTAAGAACAATTTTGGACGCTCTCCCCTCCTTTTTGTCAGTGTTTTCTCTCAGTTTGGTGCTGTGCAGGAGCCCTGGGGAGGGTGTGAAGTGCCTCTCCCCCCAGGACTCTGTATCACTGCTCTGATGTCATCCCTTCCCAACAGAGAGGTGATGTTTCTGACCAAGGTAACCCACGCTATTTTCAGCTGCTTCTAAAAATAAATCCCTGCACAAGTTGGTGTTGTGGCAGCAATGTTTTATCTCTTAATTGGGGCTGTTTTCTGAGGGTGATTCACAGGAAGAAGATGAGCTTTCCTAGTTTTGCCCTGGGGTGACACAAGGTAGGTGAGTTGCTGATTGTGCACGAAGGTCTCTGCAGCGGTGAGGAATTTTTGGATTAGCTCCGTGGTTGTTGGCTTCTCCCCTAAGGCTGAAGTGTCAGGTTAAACACTGGACAGGCCCTTTCTGCTGGAGGTGTCTGGTGGCTGATGGAACACATTCTGTAGGGGGACAGTGTCCCACAGTGCCGTGGAGAGTTGGTGGCATTGTCACATCGAGGGAGAGATGGTGACTGAGGGAAGTGATGAGGAAAGAGATGGTCCCTCTGGGAGTTAAAGTGCAGATTTAAAACTTGTTACATATGCTCAGAGCTCCAGGGAAGAACAAGAGCCAGAGACACTGGGTGAGGTGGAGGAAGGTGTTTCATAAGTATCCAGAGAGCAGAAGGCAACTCTGCCTTCCAACACTGTCACCAAATACCTCCTGAGTGCTGTGTCCAGCTCTGGGCCCCTCACAAGAAGACAGACATTGAGGGGCTGGAGGTGTCCAGGGAAGGAGCTGGAGCAGCAGGAGCAGCTGAGGGAGCTGGGGGGGCTCAGCCTGGAGAAAAGGAGGCTCAGGGGGGACCTTCTGGCTCTGCAATCCCTGACAGGAGGGGGGAGCCGGGGGGGGTCGGGCTCTGCTCCCAGGGAACAGGGACAGGAGGAGAGGGAACAGCCTCCAGGCTGTGCCAGGGGAGGGGCAGGTTGGACATCAGCAGGAATTTCTCCCTGGAAAGGGTTGTTAAACATTGGCAGGGTCTGCCCAGGGAGGTTTGGAGTCCCCAGCCCTGGAGGT